TCCACCCTCGTCGGATGTTTTTAACAATCCCAAGCCTCAAGCTCTGGTGGGCTTGCATGACCATGTCAGGGGTCTTTCGAAAGGTGTCTGATGGCTAGCGGCTAGCTGGGGAGTAACCGTACAGAGGGATTTTCTCAACTATAGCTTGGCAGGCTTGGCGTCTCGGTCTTCTCTCCTGAAAGGTGGAGAAGTTTATATCATATGAACGTATATGAACCAAGGTTATAATCCTTGGCCATTCTCAGTTTGGTCTCTCAACATGGTGTAACCCGTCGCGACTCCGGCGCCATCTTGCGGTGCCAAGCGTCCCAAGCCCGAAACCCTAAACCCATATCATTCCACCAGAATCTGTCACCGAAGTCCAATTGGATCGAAGCGTTCCAGTGCCGCTCAGCGCGCCGCTTCGCGCGACGCTCGTCCCAAATCGACCGAGGGGCAACGCCTCCTTCCGGTCGCCTCCTTCCGGCGGACTGGCGGTCTCCGGTCTGATGAGTCGTGAGCAGACCGGTTCATCACTTATACCCGTCTCACCAACACAAGCAACAAAAGAACAGCATTTCACCATTAACACTGTTCACCGAAGTAATCGAACATGATCGAACTGATTGAAACATCTGCTTTAAACATGACACAATTGAAACACACATCTCTCAAGCGCTGAAAAAGAGGATGTTTTCAAGCACAGAAATGCTTGCCGGTTGCAATTTTCCGATAGTAGTGGCTGCACATATGGCACCACAAATAACGACAAATAATCTCCAAGTTTGGGCTGTTTGGGTCATGGCCTTTAGTCCTGCATGCATCTAAATACTTTGGTTGGGGTCTGACATCTATCTTCTCGCCATATAGAAAATAGCTTAATGGGTTCGTCCAAACTCCTCACACCTCGAAACCAAACAACTCATCATTTGGATATCACGCCCGAGGATGGCTCACAATTGCACAGCATCCAAATCGCAGGGTGCAAAAACACCACCAGCACTTCTTCCTTTCGGCGCCTTTGAAGCCGTTGATGTGCCGATCGGAGGTCAAGAGAGCGAGGCATGGCGAGATAGACACCCAGGGCCTCGGGCGGGCGTTGAGACTGTTCGAGTGTGTCTCGGCAGTTTCAGGAAATCCAAACTCAGATGAGGGATGATGAGGGCAACCCGGGCAACAGCTGATTCACTTTGCGGTGTCCTGTGTCACGATGAATCCAACGATAGGCTCTTTCTCCATGAACTCCGTGCCCCGGTTGCTGCGTCGCGTCCACCGCACGGCCGCCGTCCACCGCGCTGTCCTGCCCAGCGGATCCGTCCCCACCTGCGAAGCCTCATCAAGCCCTGCAGCACGTCGTAGCAAACGAAGCTTCGCCGCGTGGCAGTGGTAGACAATCGGTAAAGGGAAGTCAAAATCGCAGCCACCTGACGGTCCAGGCGAGTTGCGCGAGTCGTGCCAACACCCTGAAGGGGCTGCGGGAAGCGTTCCCCAGATCCGGTTCCGGAGAATCATGGTGTCCGCAGGTCCTGCCGATACCTTGATCGACCAGCGTCGCTGGGCATTTTCAAAGTAAACATGTCCAGCATTTAGATACCATGCACGTATAGTGTGGAGTAGATGGCCGAATCTCCAAGTTTGGTGGTGCAAGTATGGACCGATTATCTAAAAAACACATCTTGAGGTGCCAGTGCCAGTACCATCTAATCTAAAACCACCGCAACACTGGTTAGTGGACTCAGAACTCACAACTCCGGTGGCCCATCCGAAGTTAGGTCACTCCGGTGCAGCCGCCATGTTGGTCGGCACCAGCAGTGGGTTGTGAGTGGATGAGACTGAGAATATCTAAGGATAGGACATTGGGAAATTGGATGAAATTGGGAAGCTATCTTCAGTTGTGGAAACCTCCCCTCCCCCAAATCAACAGCTGTATCCACCCACACACCCACATGGTCCGAGCCGCTGCTTCGGCCAAGTGTGAAGAGCAATCGGAGTCGTCCTGAACTTCTGGGATCAACGTTCCAAGCAGGTCGCTCCAACCAAGAAAGTATGATCCCAGAAGTGGAGCGACCTGCTTGGAACTACTTGGAGACGACTGGAACGTTGCTGAGATTTGCTCCCTTCGACGACTGCAGCTGGAAAATCCCATTCTCCCAGCTGACATGTTTTTTCCCGGGCAAAGGCTGCCGCAGCATGTGGTGTTCAATCACATGCCTAGGCCTAGGCATCGCGTGTTTACCCTACACCGCACGCGCGGTAGCCTGTATGCGCAACATCTATGCGGGCTAGCTGGAGGCGCGTTACTGCTTGGTTTAGAGGAATAGTATCGAATAGCCTATCCATCAATCCACAGTATATTAAACAACAAACTCTTGATCAATCCTAAGGTCCACAGTGCTCAAACTGCAAACATGTCAACAAGAATCAACATCTTAACGTCTTGTCTCCATCAAGCCAGCATCCCATACCTAGCAGTGTGTTCTATCTCAGGATGGCCTTTAGCTTCGCAAGACTATATAGTTGGCTTCTTGTATAATTAGCTCTGCACCGCTGCTGTGCTTCTCAAAACAACCTGCCGCCACTCTTGCCACTGTCCCAACTCGTCTGCACGGCACCAAGTCACCTCGTCCCCCTCCGTTCGGCAGGGGCTGAAGCTGATGACCTCAGGCTTGAAGTTCAGCGCCGCGAGACGATGGAGCTCAACAAGGATGGGCTGAAGCTGAAGCACTCCATAACGCCTCGGCGGCCAACGCGGCGTCATCGCCAGTTGTGAGGCCGTGGCTGGCCGAGGAAGGCGTTGTCCCGAAGTGTTCAGGTGCTTTTCATGCTAGAGTGGAGAGGGGCCACGGAGAGGAAAACCTAAAGAAAACCGACACGTTTGATGCCAAACAGGTTTGGAGATCGAGTTCTTCATGTCCCAAAAACGGTTCCGAAAGACAATCTGGACGTACGACTCGTGCGTTTGACCTATGGCAGGGCCGGGCCGCTTGAGGAAGCGGACAGCGAAGCTGTCTTTGGGATGCAGGTTTATGACTTGTACTACCCAAGCTGATCAACTCGGCCAGAAAGTGGTGCCTGGTTTACAGATCACGTCCTGGTGATGGTTGAAGCACCAACCCAACTATAAGGACGTACTCTGCACGGACCGAGCAGCTCAAATGGTCCGGATTCCCATCCGGAAGCCTTGAAAGGACTGAGTAGATCCAACACCGAAAAAGCGCTTGCTTGAGCGCTATGTCATGGTATTTTGGCACTGCAGCATGCTGCAGCTGTGTAGTCAGTTTGTTCAAAGTCACGCACCAATATGAGACACGTTGTAAGCCCTTAGTCTGGCAACCCAATTCAAGGGCAAGATCAAACGGGAAGGTCCAAGTGTTCAGCTTGATCGAAGCTCCAACATGAGGTGGCTCAAGCCCTGCATGCTCAGTGGTTGAATTGAACTCCCCACAAACAAAAGGAAAACATATATATATATATATGGGATACATGCATGGGAATGCATGAACAACATGCATAATTCTCCATAACAGTGCAGTTCTCAAATGTTCTCAAAATCATCGACCTGTCTATTAGTTTCTTCAATCGCTGACACACAATCGGCGTAAACCACACATCTCCCCGCCTCTGGTGCCGCAGCCCGAACGTTCGCGCGCCGCAAACGGGCAAATGGACGCTTTGAGGGAAGGCACACGGGGCCTCCAGTTCGGTTTACCGATTGACACCCTGATTCCGAAATCTTGTGTGAAGTGGAGAGGAATGATCAGTCCCGAAGCTGTTTCAATGGGGAACTACAAGGGAGGGTTAGATATCGTGCAGTCCCTTGGAAAGAGAACAAGGACTTTGCTCCAAACCAAACTGCCCGGCGCTTGGAATCTTGTGACCGATTTAGTGCTCGGGCCAAAAACGCCTGCGAGGCCGCACAATTGCTTCCAGTCTCAAACGTGCAGGCTCTCAAATGATGCCACCGCCTGCGACGAATGGAGGGTACATGATCATGAGGGTCTCAATTTGTCGCTCTTGCTCGGTACGTGAGTGGGTTCGGTATACTGATCTCCATGGAAAGTGAACGTGACAATCCGTGAAGCACGAATTTCGGAGGACATGTGATGGATTGGGAAAGGAATGATCCTAGATCAGTCATGACAATTCTGCGGATGGAAGACTTGCTCACTGCAGTTCTATACTGACTCGGTCGTCCAACTGGTTGATGGATTCAATCATCCCAAGCAAAGGTTGAAACCACCACCCAGCTCATCATTCCCTACCAGGTCCTTCAAGGTTGTGATGACTGAGAGTTTCCACGGCAGAACAATGTGCAAGATCTTTTCAAGCTTGCACCTCCTGCAGTCCAATTCGTTACCACCAACTTGTAAACATCTTCCAAACCCTTCTGAAGGGGCAGTGCAAGCTAGTTTCTGGGAGTCTTTGCTTCAGGACCAGGATGACTCTATACAAAGCATGTTTCACCTGTATACTTGTAGCGTTCTCCACGACCTGTTGAGCAATTTGGTCCTTTTTCGATCTTTTTCGAAAAAGGTCAGGTGCGGTCCTGGGCTAAACCGCAGATGGATGGGGGGCAATCCTCACCGATGCCTTTGGCATGGGATCTGAAAACCGGAAGCAAAACAGCGCACCACTGATGGGTCGAAGCAAAACTGCTCGGAGTTTTGCATGTCTTCAAGTAGATCGAGCATCCACAGGCTTGCAGGCTTCTCTGAGGCATGTTGGAGTCAAAAGCAACTTGATGATTCTGATCATATCTTCGTCTATCTTCATGCACCTATGTCTCACAGCACCATTTCAGCATCCCTCTCGAGTCTAGACTCAAGAGTGTCTGACACACACAAGTCACCCCAGCAAGCTTGTTGGTTGGCTCGATGTGTGACCGACAGAAATCGGCATGGTATGTTTAGCAATTGAACGCATCAGCGAGGTCCATCACTTATTGTAGCACCAAATCTTTCCTCGTCGTCCCACTACGTGTAATACTGTATATCATACGATTCTTCGTAGGACGAAATGGACCCAGTCTTCCAAGCAAATTGGCATCTTCTGTTTCCCTCACCTGAACCATGCCAAAACACATTGCCACTGTGACATGACCTCTCCTCACGTGGCCACGACTCTCCGCGTCTCCGCGTAGCGCGACAACGACGACCGATCCGTCTCAGAAGTCCTCAATCTCCGTCGGAGGGTCAAGCAGGGCGTCTTTCAACTCTTGGATGTCCTGGCCTCCGTGCAGTTCTCATCGAATGTTGCTTCGAACCAGCGAATATCACCAAAATGCTCCATTCCTGTATACTTTAAAAACAAATAAGAAATGAAAACACATGCGCAAGCACAACCCACTGTTCAAGGAAAGAACTGTGCTTTATAATGCAAGATGCACAGAAACAATAGCATAGAACAATAGTGACAGGATGTTCTCAGTTGGTACCAGGCATCCTTTCATCACATGCATATAAATTGTCATATAAACCTCTGGCAACTTCTCCCTCCAAACTACCGTTTTGACAGTGCCCCGGCCCAGAGCGGCCAAACTGGGTTCAAGTGGCTGAGATTCGCGATAGCTCTCCGCGTGAGTTTGTTTTCGAAGCTCATCTTGGCCAACTGCATACTCTTCGCCGGCCCGTGCAACTGCATACATCCGCTCCTTTCGTCTTCAGCTTTTTGGTGTTTGTTGCGAAAATCCGAGATCGGCCAGCAATTGGTGGGAAGAAGAAGGACCGAGTCGGTGGCATGATGGCCGTCCGGTCTGACCAAGTGGGATTTATCATGACCCCGATGCCACACTGATGATACCGTCTGGTGAGTTTCAATGATATGTTCTTTGCAAAACTCATGCAAATTCCTCTGGCAACAGGAGGGCTCCTGATTTCGTACATTCGTTAAGGAAGTGAACATATACATATACCCTGCAAATCTCTGCTAGCTTTTCCTCCATGGGATCTACCAGTCCTGGCGTCCCAGCCAAGATATATCTATTATATCCAAGATCGGCAAAGTACGGCATAAACCTAAAGGCGGACTTTGAGATTTTACAGTGTTTCTCTGGCTGTTATTTACCTGGGAACAAGGACAAGGTTTGTCCTCAATCGTGTATCGCTACAGGATCCTCAGCAGGTTATTGCAGGTGATACACCATCCCAAGTCCACTGTGTGTCTTTGATCTTCCCCCTCACCCCGCAAAGAAACCTACAGTGCTGCATATGGATTAAAATCAAGGGAGAATCTGGCAAAACTCCCACCAATGCAGTGAAGGCTCACAAACTCATCCAACTCGAGCACACCCTTCTGCTCGCTGTCCAAGAGTAAAAACAAGGTCCACACATCATCCTTAGCGAACGAACAAGCAGATTGTGACATGCTTGTGGCAGTGATGGTCCTAGTGAAAGTTGATTCTTGAGGCAGTGAGGTGGCTTTGAAATTAGCAAGGGTGCGGAGCATTAATATTCCAAAATCAGTGTGGATTCGTTCTCCCAAATTAAGGATTAAGGATTAAGGACCAAGGAGAATGCTTCGCCAACCACTGGTCATTCCAAACAGTGAGATTCGAACAAAGAGGCTGGCACTGATGGCCAAAGGTCACCATTCTGAGTCCATCAACAAGGTTTTGGTTTTGACCCTGGTGGCACAAAACAACATGGCTCTTGGCCTCAGAACAAAGCATTCCTTGGTGGAACTGTGTGAAGCTATGCCCCCAATCAACCAAACATGGTAAAGGCAGGGACCATGATGATCATATGCTGATCCCGACTCCCGACCAGTCCTATAATACATACGCAGTACCGTAGTATATACAGCCCTGCTAACAACAAAACCCAGAAACAACTGATATGCGACACATGTCAAGCAACATCAACATCTTAACAATGACAAAAAAAAAGCTGCCGCAACTGCAGCGACTACGCAAAAGAAGCAGCAGCAAGCGCCACCACCACAACCACCACAACCACAACAAAAAATATACTTGAAGTCCTGAACACGGTTTCAGTATTGTTTTCAGGTGCGCCTCCTAAATATCATCCGCTCTAATATTTTTGCGTGCTCAGGTCTTGGAGGGACACTTGTCAAAAAAACAATGAGAAACCACAATGGAAGTATTTAACAAAAAGGCTTGCTTGGCCTGCAATGGCTGGTTGTGTTTTAAGTGTGCACTTGCCCCTCATATCAAGCTACAAAAGCCAGCCATCAGAGGCAGGGAGTGCAAGTAATCAAAACCATAGTGGTGGATCGAGTGCTCTGGAGTGCTCTGGCTTCTTCTACATCAAAGGTTGACCGCTTGACCCCAGATCCACGCCCGAGTAACCCCTGGACTCAAACTCAACTAAGCCTGGCCTGGAATAGACTGGACTTACTGGGCCGTTCTGTGTTTAATAAAATCAAGTAAGACCTGGCGGTGAGAACAACCCAGCAAGGGTGGCAAGCAAATGTTTCTTTGGCCTCCAATGAGCAAACGTGACACCAAAAACTTAACAGGTTCAGGAGTGGTTCTGAAGGATTGTTTTGTTGGTAATGTTGACAAAAGATTACGTAACCACCCCCTATTAACCAATCCCAGCTCGAGCCCCCAATACTAAACTAATTAAAACCTGGATTTCCACCTTGGCATCCCCCGAATGCTCTATTTCTGGGCAGAAACCTCCCTTTATTAATCAATCCCAGCTGTCCCAGAAAAATACAGACAATAACTATTGATTATGCATATAGTTATTGTATATTTACTTTATTTTTGGCTAGTATCCAATATCTTCTGGTCCATGGTGAAACTGATCTTCTGATCCACCCTTGTCTCATGCCATCTCTTTGAGAGATGGCATTCTGATCCACCCTTTTCAGGGATGTGGTCCCCCAATACCTCCAAGATCAAATCTTGTTGACCTTGAAGGAGGGGGGTCTTTGATTAATCCGGTGTTGACATTAATTAATCATTTGCGGCGTTTCTGGCGAAATCCACCCATCCACCACGCAAGAGCAAACACAAAATCCCGAAAAAAAAAAAAAAAAAACTGCGTCTACTCTGAAAAACCAACACCAAACTGACACCATCAATTGCAAAACAGTACGTCAAAAAGAGACCAAACCGACACTGAATTGGTGCGTTTGGGTTTGTGGTAATGTTGGGCCTGTAATCTTGTCAATGTTGAGTGTGTGAGACATAAGTTGTCAGCACTGTTTGTCGGGCTCGTTGATGTATCCTCTTGTTTGATCGTGGTTGGTGGGTGATTGCCTGTTTCAACTTCAGAGAAGTTTGCTCAAGGAACCTGAGAAGTTGAAAATCGAACCTCTGTTCCTAATGGTTCATCCCCATGTCCTCTGGTTTTCCCAAGACTCCGTTGACACGCCCAAGGCTTCGAGGAAATGGGAGAGTTCTCCTGGAAGGTTTACGCTGTCTGTCGAGGGTGTGCCATCGCTACCCTGACTGGTGCTTCAGTGGCATAACGGCATAACTAGTGCCACTAGTTATGCCACTGCACACGCCATGGCACTGGTTGTGTGCATTTTTGGTGCATTATTTTTCCTATGTTTGCGCGCCCAAATCCGGTCGTCGTCCTAAAAAGAACACCGGACCCCACCGGTCCCCGGTTTCGTCCTTTGGAGATCGCTTCCTGTAGCTCGTCGACGCTGACCTCGTTGGAATCGTCCTGGTCAATCCTGGTTGGGAGATAAGTCGTTGTGAGCGTTTTGGAGGGGATGAATGGGGTGGTTAGATTCGGGCAAAAAGGAAGATCAGCTAGAGATTAAACAAAGACATTGTGGATCATTGGATCATCACTTGATCTGTCTGAAACATTCTGAGACGTCAGTTTGATGATTTATATACATAGTAGTTACTATAGTTTTGCCAAGCAAAAACCTGCCGCAAACAAATACTAACTTGTCCTTAATATATATTATATGTATAATCTAAGCGTGGCCATGTCCGCACCATCTTTGCAGTTCCAGGCTGGCTTTGAAAGAAGCATTCAACACCGCTCCAGGCTCCCTGCTCTATGATGCTCAACGATCTCAAAAAGGGAAACGGCATGGAAACAGCATACTGTTGGGCTCCACTTGGTCCATGTCAGGGGCGTCTGCGCCTTTTCAAGCCACCCAACACCCTGGAGGAGCTACAACCCGAGCCGGGTGGCTCTTTGAAGATGTCCCGCAAGGCTTTCACCTGGCGCGACCGCCAGCGCCGCACGACGCGTTTTTGTCATGCTTTCGGAGTCCAGGCCGGGGCGAGCCATGGCAGCCGCTGGCACCAGAACCCAACGTTGCAACTCTCGTGCCAGGATGTGCCAGGTATACTGGCAGTCACCCTCCGTGGTTTGAGTGTCCGCCAGCTGCACTCCGGAGAATGGAACCCGGAAAAGCACATAATATAGAGGTTTTCCCACCCTCAGCTTGATCACCACACGTACGGCGTGACTCCACTCAAGAGCCTGGTGGTTCTTCGCCTGCACCTGGGCGGCGTCACACGAAAGGGACAAAAGGACTGGAACCCAAAAAACTGCTCAAGACTGCCCATGACTAGGAGCAAAGACTTGCCGGTGACACTTCACTAGCACCCAAGAAAACGTCCAAGTGATCCTCAAATTTGACGTCCACGAACCCACGGAAAAAAGAGAGGGTCAGTCGCACCCCATGGTGCACAAAGTACATGTGGCCAAGGAAAAAACACATGATCGAACCAATTTTTAAATTACAACTTTGTTGTTCATATTCCATCTCTGTAGCGCTCTCCTTTTCATGAACTGCAGGCACCAAATGATAATATCCAACGGCACAATGGCTAAATCATTCCCGAATGTGAAGACAAAAAAGGCTCAAAAAAATGGTTCACGAGTGCACTGGCTCGGTTCAAGCAAGGCTCTTGTTTCTTGGTGGCCACCTCCTTGTCGACCACAGCACTTTCGATCGCTGTATTCACAAAAACGCCAGTAATGACGTTCCTGGCAGAATTTTGCAGCGATTGCGGCAACAGCCGCACGCCGATGCACGCAACCCAAATGCGGTGCGCACCACGAGAGCCCGCAAAACGGCGCCAGCCGCAGCACCATCCCCAAACAAACAAAAGTTAGAGACACAATATGAACTCGTGGAGTCAACTGACAGCAATCGATGGCTGATCAACAGCGAAAGAAACACACAGGTCCGGGCCCCATATGGGTTGTTTTCTAGATTACTTGCTTAAGCTGTACTCATCCAAAGTTAGGACGTCCCGTGTCGTTTGACAATGTATGTATCGCTTTGCAGGCCTTACATGATTCGCATGGTGGAGTCTTGCCACCAACAATGAACGTCACGGACCATGACAAACAAAACGCAAACACAAGCGCACAAACAAGAAAACACAGGAACCCCTATTCGTGATCATTCATGAACTGAGAGCATCCCCTGCAAACTCTGAAAGTGTGACGAGCTCTGTGAAGTGAGGAAGGACAACACCACCGAGGGCTGCTCCAGCAAGCGCAACATTGCTGGCTTCTGCCGCTCGTTTGATGATCGATCCCTTTCACTAGAAGACACAAGCCCGCCTGCACCTTTGCAGGCTTACCCATGGGGCTCTGTCTAAGGAGCTTCCCTTTTGCACTCTCTCGTGTATCGTTGGGGTATCGTTTTATGATGTTGACTTTTCGTCTGACTCAAGTCTGCTTACAAGCACACGTGCTGCGCTCACGCTACACCAAAAAGAACACAGCCCCTTTCCAAACCAAGACAGGCGGACAAAAGGCGTGCACATGCGTGCACCCTGTTCCAGAGCCTAGCCTTTCCTCATAGGCTGGGGCCAGCCCATGAGCGAAGAGCCAGGACACAGCCCTCCAAACACAAGCAATCACAATCCTTAATTGCCTGTGAACACTAGGAAGAACACACAGGTTCATGAAGTGACGCCCTTCAGACCCTTAAGCACAAATGCTCAGAAGAGTTACTGTAGCAGGACGACATACCAAAATAAACTCAAACAAACTCAAGGAACTAATGTAACTAATGCATGTAACAATAGAGGTATCGTTATTTTGGACGTCCCGTATCATTTTCCAAGCGATAAAGTAAATGACGATAATTTTGAAAACGACTCATATCATGCCGGGCCCATCTATCGGCCGGCATCTTTCGTTTCTTTCATCGAAAACGATCCAAAGAGGTGAAGCGTTCGATGGCCCAAGGTCAATCCCAAGGTGCAAAATGGCAAAGAAGGTGATCACCACCTAGGCGTGGCATGTGGAGCTCCCCGTGGCTGTGCCGAGCTGAGAAACCAAGGGCGTCCGCGCGGAAGAACGTTGAATTCCATGTCATTGTACAGTGAATGACCGGCTTGGGAGGTTCCGTATACTCAATCAGGCCATCAGGCAGGCCGTGAGTGGTCAGTGGCCTTCGTCGGTCTCCGTCTCCTTCCACGTTTGTCTTACAATGGTTTTGGAGATTATACAAAGGAAAACCAGCTGTCACAACTCCTAACACTAGAGCTTTGTTATGCCAGCGGCGGGAACATGACCCCGGAAAGTTGGCAAAGCCTTCCCTAAGGATCCAGTCGTACCCTCTGAGAAGGTGGGACTGGGGTGGGTGCTCAAAAGGTACGACTGGATCCCTATAGGGCTTGATCATTATTGGTGCCGCTCGGTTGAGCCTTGAGATCCCGAAAGTTCATGGCTTGCGTGATCCCGAAAGTTCAGCTCCTCAGTCGGATGATCGACCAGCGAATGTTGGGGGCTTCTCAGTCTGACCAGCGGGTGATGAGCCAAAAGAATGCCTGGACGAAGGGGTGGATCCTGCAGGCTGAGACTGGCCCTGAAATTGGGATCTCAAACCACTTCAAAACATGTTCAATCCACATCTCGGCCACTGTCTCGACCGGATCTGAGGTAGGTCTCTTTTTCTTCTCTCCACCTTCCCTATCAGCCTGTCTATCAGCCTGGCCAAGCCACATAGAGAATCAGAATCGCAGCTGCAAAGCTGGACACGTCATGCAGGGGGGCTAAGGCTTCCTGCCGAACGAAGCATGAGTGGAGCCACCGGACCCTTCCTCTCAAGAACTGAAGGGGTTGAGGGGTCAAACCCAAGTTTCACCAGTAGTTCACATGTTGCAAGTTGAAAATTGCCCAATAACATTTCCATTTGTTGGGGACTGACAATTGGTTCAAAACGCTAGCTGTGACTTCAAACAGAGAAGAGAAGCAGCAAAACAGCAATTCCGAATTGCCCTACCTATTTCGGGACCACTGTTGCTGTTGGGATCCCCATGACCCATAGAGACATGGTCAAACCGCCCCTACTATGTATTCTGGGACTGCTAACGTTAGTTGGGTATAAGCCAATCAAGCCGGATGTAGATGTATGGGTTTATGGGTTTTTGAATGTTTATCAATGATGATGGTAACAACTCCGGATAGAACCTCGTTTCTCTTGGCAAATGATCGTTGTCAGCAACGAATTCGGCGAGTTACCCAAACGAACGAACAACGATGACAACCAAAATGCCACGCCAACGATGGCCACAGTCCGACACACGGCTTCCGTCACGAGGGACGGCGGTAGGTTCCCCAAGTCCATCATCGATGGCCACGGGTTCGGGGCGGCAGTACCGAACTCGGTCCGGAAAGGCGGCATCCGGAAGCAGAACCACGAGACGAAGTGTTTCTTTGTTCAGAAGTTCCAAAAAACGTTTTACTCGTTGCCTATACTAGACTGCCTACTAGATCCTGCTACTAGTACACTATGCATAGTGTAACAACGTACTTAGCGAACCTTGCAAAGGCAACTGGAAGGCTAGGGGCCTATGGATCAACTTCAAGGACCTCCTCCAAACAAAACAAGCGGCCCAGTCCTGCCAGTTCAAGCCTCCAGTGACAGACATGAACAGCGTCAGCATGCTGAGAGGAATGAAGTGAAAGTAGATGATCTGGGTGTGGAAGGGAAACAAACCGCGCATTTGGGGTTCAAAATGGTTCAAGAAACATACTGTTCAAACGGCATCACCATATCATATACCACAGTTACTCAAAGTTACATATTCGCCCAAAGACTTGTTGGGTTACCTGCCGAACAAGAAGCGCAGTCTTCACTGTCAAAACTGTCAATGTTTCCTCTTCTCAACCCATGTTTCACGAAGCATAGGTTCCCCACCACCACTCCGGCTCCCCAAGCCCCACCACGGCCGGTCCAAACAGCTGCTGAGCCCAGCCCAGCGAACGCTTCAGTCACGCCAGGACACGGTGACGGAGGTCCACTTGCCAAGCTCCTTTGGACACACGGGCATGGAGTCGCCGTCGCCGTCCAGGTAGCGGCAATGCTCGATGACAGTCTCAGTGATCAACACCCCAAAGGAGTAGAACAGCCTCAAATCGCAGCGCTGAAAAGAGAGAAAACGTGGAGCTATAGTGATATTAAAAGGAAAGCGTAAAAGGAAAACGTCTTTCTCCAGAGCTTGTTCGTCCGATCGGTCGGCTATTGTTTTTGCTGTGGATGTCTGACGTCCTTGTGGTGATATATCGATGTATATATATATATAAGCCCCTCACCCTTTCCTGAGCAGGGCGGGGGTGAAAGCCAGCCTTCGTAGACACGGTGTAGTCTTTCAACGTGTTTTCTTTACAGCTGCTTGGGGAGACAAAGCTAGATCCCAGAAGGTAGCACTCCTTTGCGGGTGTCCTTTTTTCTGACCGAATATCTTTGACTCTGACAAAAAGATCAGAAGGGCGCTTCCGCACATGGCCTTTTCGTTGGATCGTTACTTACAGTGCGTTTCGGCCCACCTTCTCCTGGTTGCTGATGTGATCTAGCGTGAGCATGTTCGATTGTGACATGCAACATCCACATCGTTTATGCATTTACAGAAGATACAGAAAAACATCCCACCCAACAAAGAAACAAGGTGCTTGTGTAGATCGACATGTTCCTTCGATACGCCCGTCGGACGCGCCACGGTATACTGGTCTTTACAGCAGGGCAAACGTAGACTTTCAACATGTTTTCTTTACAGCTGCTTGGGGGGGCCCCAGCTGGATCCCGTCTCTTGGACCGCTTAGATGGTGTGCTCCACGCATTCACTCCTGCCAGCATCAAACATGCCTGCGTGTCTCTACAGCAGAACAGTACATCCAACGGCAACAATCGCGCGTCCACGATTACCAGGGAATAACAACACACACACCACACAATTAGACAGGCCACATAAACGGTATCTTGGCAACTTTGTGACGCTCATGATGCACCATTTTACACCTTTTTGTCATCATCAATCTCCTTTTGTTCGCTCTCCCCCACCTGGCCCGTCAGGCAGCACCTCGCAACCACCACCCCCTACACCCCCTGAAATGCACACTTCGTTCGCCCATCAAGCACTCCAGCCTAGCCTATCGGCTGGCTTTCGTTAGAATATATGTAAACATGTCGATCCTTCATCAATCATGGTGAACACAATACACTCTGCAATGCGAACCACCAAGAACGAAAACACGTCACGAAAGACCAAGCCGAACTCACTGCATTGTTTGAACAATCTCCCATTAAATTCGTAGCTCTCTTGGTCCTATTTAATTGGTAGCTGAATCATCTTCCAAAGGGGCAGGAGTAAGAGGATCAAGGTCCAAAACAGCGATCCCATGGTGCTGATGATCGACAAGGCCAAGGTCCTCAGCGCCACGGCGGCCACGACGACCCGTGCCCAGAAGATTGGGCAGCACTTAGGATGACTTATGCCTGATAATTAGTATGTTTTTTTTTCACTGTAATTACTTAACTTTACATATATAATTTTACTTGCTTATTGATCAGGCACTTTTAAAAGATAACCTATGAAACTCATCGACATCAACGACGGCCAAGCATCCGCAAGGCGCCCACATAGCGGAAGAGCTTCATGACACGTATGCCGCGCAAGACCCGCGCCAGCCGTAAGCTGCGCACAAACTGCACCTTCATGGCATCTCCAATGGCATCCCACTGAAGCGCCTGGAAGGCAGCCGCACCACGTCCACGCACCAACCCCACCAACTCATTTATGCATGTAGCGCGCGTGAGCAGTAGCGCGCTTATGTATCAGGTGAGTTGACGAAAACATCACAGTCCTGTCGCCTGTCGCTATTATTGTTGATGTCAAACATTACAGTAATTGTAATTATGCATTGTAATAGTCACTGGTAGACACTGCTTGGCGTATCCCCATAACCTTCTCCGACAACTCTTGAGCACCTGTAGAACGACCTCAGCCATCAAATCCACCATGGAGAAGAACACAATGAGGAAGTCAAAGATGTTCCTTGCTGGGCAAGTGCAACTTATGACACCAAGCACTGGAAGGGACAATAAGTCTACTGCCGGCAGAACTGACCGAACGTCCCCAAACAAAAACCGGGCTTCAAAGAGTCATATTCGCACTGGCTCAGTCAACCAGCTTAAGAATCAATAAGTTAGTTACCAACATCCCTGATATCATTATAGAATTGAACGTGATGCCCAAACACACGGCACAAGTTCCTCGGCGAAACGAACAAAAGGTAAAATCAATTGGCAAACAAACACACTTGAAGTTACAACACAGCATTTGACTGTCAAAATTTGCAGAGCGCGACTGCATGAGTGATTGTGGTGTGCATATATGATAAAGGCAAGGACGCGCTTTTGATTTTTTTTGCTTGTACATGATGTGTAGACCAAACACTCAAAGTGCACAGCTTAATTTAAGCCCAGCTTCCAGTGGGCATCCGGACCACACCAAAAGCCCCTGCAGCCCTCCATCCAGACTCGCACCAAAAGCTCCAGCAGGAAGAGCACCACGCACGTGGTGTTCGCGGCGGAGAGCCAGGGAGGGACATCCTTCAAGGCCATGTCGCTGGAAATGTCCGTTTCAATGCCTCGGCCGGCATCAACGGGATTCCCTGTATTTTGGGGGCAAGAGACCCATCTGATAATACTGGACCCAAGGGCGGGCCCCCAAATGTTACAGGACGACAAGGTGAAAAAGGGGCAGGGAATTGATCATTTTCCACCAGACCATATATATATATATATATATTCAGGCAAAGACTCCAATCAGCACGACGTTGAAGACGATGAGCACAGTTGTGCAGTGCGTAAAAATGTTCCGGAAGGATTCGATTCGCTGGGGTGTCACCCACCGTCGCTCCATGTCTTGCAAGCTCTCCTGACCTGAGTCGCTCTTGACATTCCAAAGCCCGGCCACTGGATTTAGTCGCAAAGTCAAAACCATTCAGCCATCCACGTCCAAACTGGGTTAGGTGTGGCTTCAGTAAGAAGAGCGAGTCCAAGCCAGCCAGTGCCTCTTAAAGACCCGCACCCAACATTCACAGAGGAACCGGCATGGCGAATAACATAATTTGTACCCACCTTCAACAAGAACATATTCTGACCGGCTATATTTAGATTAATGCATAAAAATATCGACCCCACTCTCGGACAACACACGCAGTCACACTTAGATACTGTGATTGCCCTGTGATGCTAGCACTTTAAGTTTAATTATATACTGCGTTAGCCGTCTAGAGCGGAAGCCTGAACCTGTCAATGACCATACTCAAACCGCAAGGCGAAAGAGTTCGCAACAATAGTTTACATCACAAATGTGCAAAATGGCAGGTACGTCACGGTGATTGAGCCGTGATATCCTAGTCAACTGCATGGAGCTTCGTTGGCAACAGCCATGCAGTGACTCTACCCTATCGCCCCCTGCTTAAGCTGTAAAGTGAGGTGAACTAAAGAGAGTTAAGAAGTAGGCGGTAGAAGAAGTGCATGGTTCCCTTAGGGACAGGGTTAGACACACGCACACACACACAGAGAGCCACTGTGATGAGGCTCGCATGATGTCTCACACTTTCTATTGACGTCAATGGGTCCCGGCCCGCATGCATTAGAGGAGGGAGACCCTCCAGCCACAATAGGTTCGCAGGGGAGGTTGAACTGAGGACCCTGGAACTCCCGCTCCTGCTGTGTTTTCGCCGCGCGACTACTTTTCCGCTTCTTTAAACGCCGCATGGTCTTCCGCTTCTCCGCCTGGCGAAGCGGAAGCGACAGGGCTTGGTAGACAAGAAGAGGGCCTTGAGAAGGGCCTAATGAACTATGTATATTTCTTAGCTATTATATGATTATACTAGGCAAAAAATAAACACGGATAGGTTTATATAGAACAGTAAATGGCCTAACATCCACTCACAGGAATGGGAAAACAAAACCCAGAACATCCACTCACTGATGGATCAACCAAACCCAGAAC